TACATTTTTTAGTGAATATCTGCCAATAATATCGGAGGGCCGATATTGTCGGACATCCCCAGTTGTAATGATGTATCATGGCACAAAATGCATTGTGGAGATGAAAAATGGATGACAGTAACAACTAAATCATATCAATTGGCTCTCAAACAAGGAATGTAAGTGGTGCATTTTTCTCAAAATGAGACTGTCAACGTTCTCACTCTCTTACTTAGATGACCAGCTGTTCAGACACTGAACCAACAGCTGCAGTTTCTCTCTTTTTTTCTTCAGACCCTCGCTTCACATTTTATAAATACACTGAAGGTGGAAAGTGTATGAACCTTTTTTTTTGTTTCATATTGAACCCTCAAAGGTCCAGTGTGTAACATTTAGGAGGATCTATTGGTAGAAATATAATTTAATATTTATAACTATGTTTTCATTACTGTTTAATCACCTGAACATAAGAATTGTTACCTACCGTAGAATCACCCATTTGTATCGATAGACTCTGTGGGTTGCCTTCCGTGGAGGCCGCTATGTTGAACCGACATGTTTCTATAGACAGATAAACCAAACACTGTCTCCAGATAGAGGTGTTTTTTTTTTTTTTTGTGTTTCCTTTGTGCCTAGAAGAGGAGGGTGAAGCGAGGGAGTTGCAATCTGCAACTTCACCGCTAGATGTCCCTAAATCCTACACACTGGTCCTTTAATCTCTTTTTTTCAGTGTCTTCTGAGTTATCAGGTTGTTCTTTTTGAAAATGTGAACACAGACCATGTTACCAGTATGGAGCAACAGAACCAAACAGCTATGCCTGTGATGTTGGGCAAAAAGGGCGATGTTAGCGGAATCAGCCTCACTTTGTGAATTTGAATACTAAGTTAGTTGTAGTTATGTAGATTTATTGCACTTTTACTGCCCTCTGAACAGAGAAACAAACTTAAACTATCAGTAGCTCCAGTTAGGTGACAGAGGCATCAATGAGTGTCACATTAAGAGCTGACATTTAATTACTCGTGCCACATTTAGATGATATAACATTATTAAAAGTCCCAGCTTGTGTCAGAACTCATTTTGCCTTATGGGTTCTTATCAGAATAAAGTGTTTCACTGAAGGAAAACTGTATAAAAAAAAAAAATTTAAGTTTGCTGCTGCTGCCTTAATTCACCTGCCTTCCCATTATTGTAGGTAATCCTGCTTTGTTTGTGTATACTTAGTGGAAAAGATTAGGACAATTAAAATGATCTCTATTGTAAAAGAATGCACCTCAAGAATCTGTCACGTCTCTCTTTTTCCATAGGTCGGTATAGACTTCACAGCATCTAATGGGAACCCTCGGGAGCCGTCCTCCCTCCACTACATTAACCCACTGGGCAGCAACGAGTATCTCGCCGCAATTTTGGCTGTGGGACAAATCATACAGGACTATGATACGTGAGTATATAATGCAGCCTTCTTGGTAGTTGCCGTTTTTTTAATCAATTAGGACTGGAGGAATGGATCTTAAGATAGCTGACTCCAGTCTCAAGGATCTATTGGCAGAAATGGAATATAATATTCATTACCATGTTTTCATTAGTGTATAATCACCTCCTACACACTGGTCAGATGTTGTGATCTCTCTAGGGGATCAAATTCACTGAAAGCATGAGATGGACCTGGGACAGTACGAAAAAGACAATGATCATATGTCTCAGAGCGTCTTTACAAGCACCAGAGTGACAGTCAGCAGTAACAAAGAAATGGTTTCCCTTCTGTCAGTGTACATCACTGTGGGCTTTACTGTTTTTCCAGTTCCTAATATCCATCTTAATCCTATCATCTACTCCATAACCACCGTGCGGAGCTTGAACATGGGCGTCAGTGGTGCACACCAACACACACACAACCAGCTGCTTTGTTACAAATATGATTTTCAGACCTTCTGTCACTGAAAACATAATGAAGACCACCAGTAATACAGAGGTGGCGTTGTTAAGAATATTTAAGGTAACTCTTCTCTCTCAGCAATTTTTTAGTGTCAGGAAAATCTCTGTTGGTCAAAAAGACAATACGTCAGAATCTTTGTGCATCCTCCCCTTGTCTTGGTGAGAAGCAATTTTACAATATTGCTTCATATTATTCTACCAGCTGTCTGCTTGTTTCTCTGCAAATGTCTTTGAATGTGTTTCTTTGTGGAAAAGGGTAACAGGATTTCCTCTGCTGTCTAAATCCAGCTTGTTGAATTTGGATGAAAAAAATGGAAAAAGGTTTAACTAACGTTCCAATCTGTTGCCATGGTTTTCTCCTCAGTGACAAAATGTTTCCTGCTCTGGGATTTGGAGCCCAACTCCCACCAGACTGGAAGGTATGTGTGTATTTGTTAGTGCTGTTGTTGTTGTTGTTATTGTTGTGTGTGTGTGTGTGTGTGTGTGTGTGGTGTGTGTGTGTGTCGTGTGTTGCTGTGTGAGCTAAGACAACGATATGTAAGATACGTGTGTTGTGCTGTGTGGTGGTGTGTGTGTGTGTGTGTGTGTGTGACAGATAGAGTGAAAGAGAGAAAGAAAAAGAGGGGAGGGGTGTCATATGTAAACCTACAGTTAAAACAAGTCTGTATTATACATGCATTTTTCAAACACACACACACACACAGATAAAACTGTAAGCATTATACATGCATATTCACATGATTACGTAACTGTCAACCCATCTGTGTTGCCATGGCAGTGAGCTGATGAAAAGGACAAAGGAGAGAGAGCGGTGAACAGAGAGAGAGCGAGTGAGGGTGGGAGGGAGAAAGTGTGGGAGAAATGGACAGTATTTCTCAACAATATTTTACAGTGTAGTTTGTTCTCTGCGGTTCCTGTCTCCTCAGGTGTCACATGAATTTGCCATCAACTTTAACCCCACTAACCCCTTCTGTTCAGGTGAGCTACTGTGCAGTAGTCACATCGATGACCCTTCTGCAACCTTTGAAAATATAAAAAATTTAATTTTCTCATTTTCACATCATGCTTCAATTTCCTTTTGATTTTGTCAGACTGACTGATAGGTTGGCACCAGTATTGATACGTATATGAGCTGAGCATAAACCTATGATCTTAAATGGTGGTACTGTTGGGTCTCTGTAAATGTTATAAGGAGTTCGGTCTAGACCTGCTCTATATGAAAAGTGCCCTTAGATAACTTCTGTTATGAATTGGCACTATACAAATAAAATGAAATTGAATTGAATTGAATTAAATTGCCTCAAACATATCTCTGGCATTTCTGAACTGCAATATCTACAAAAAGTCAATGTTGCTTCTATATCTTGTCGTATTATAGGCTAAAATGTTATGCTAATACGAGCCTGTAAAGCCCATTGCGACATGACATTGTATTTTATATTGATACAAACAAACTTGACTTAACTTAACCATTAACAAGAGCCAGCTGAACCTTTGCTTGCGCTCAATGCCTCACTAACATGCTGACTAGTTTTCTGTTTACAACACTATTCCACTAATAATAGCATCAGCCAAAAACACTGTTGCTTATTGATTGTTGTGTTCTGTGTGGCCTGTATCCACACCTTCTGCCAGCCAGCTGCATTAACAGAGGTACTAAGCTGTTTCTTTCTCTATAAAGATGTAAAACATTATGTTATTTTCCTACAACGATACTGTCAGGCATAAAATATGTCTACACTAGTGTTGCAACAACAGAAAGGTTGCCACCACTGCCTGAGAGGCTGAAACAGAATTCAGAAAGTCAAAATTAAAGGACAGTATATAGTCCCATTTTCTCTATAAACATCCACTCATAAGGCTACAATGCTGTTGTGGCTGCCTAGAAATAAATAGAACACTACTGCGGTATAAAACTGGAGTATTCTTCAGTTTAACAAGAATACAGGACATCCAGCAAAAAAATAAACATGCCATCTCCAGATCATGTGACAGTAGCAGGTGCTGCACTCCTCTGTGAGTGTCTTGCTGAGTCTGAGTAAATAACACCTTCACACTTCACCTACACTCTACTTAGGGCATTTGTCTAAATTGGCAGTATGAATGCCAGTGCACACTATGACACCAAACAGTTGCTCCTGTCCAGACCAGTGAATGATCCAGATAAGTGCATCTACATTTATTTGATTGTGTGCAAATCTAAAGAAGTGAAATGCCTGGGACTCCCCACCAGCCCATGTAGAAGCTTTTTGGATGATATCTGTAAAAATGTACAGCAAGTTCAATTTTCTTTGACTTAGCAATTCAAGATAGCATATGATCTGGATGATCTGAGCATCTTTACAAATGCTCTCTGAGCATTTCACACATTTTGGCTGATAGAGTAAGCAAGCAAAACCAATGACATCAACCTCAGCTTTTTTTAGTGCTGATTAGCAAATGCTAGCATGCTCACATACTAAACTAATATGTAAATTAGGTAAACATTTATACTTATTTCATTATCACATTATTACATGTTACCTTTGTTATGGTGAGCAGCATGTTGATGTCAGCATTTAGCACCGCTGTGGTCAGGTACAGCCTTACAGAGCACCTTCATCCTTATTAAAATTGAACAGATTTTGAAATCTTTCACCTTGTTTTAATAAACCACAAAGTAAACATTTATTTTTAATACAGTGTATTTGGATCTGTGAACGAAACCATTAGCATTTGAAATGTGTAGGATACAAATGTGTTTATTGACAAATGCAAACGACTTGAGTACCAACTGCTGAGAATACAACTGAGAGACTGAATGAAATAGTGTAACATAAATTCGTCTGACAGATGCAGGAGGTTATGCTCAATAAGAACACTGATACTCAGCCCTCTGCTGAAGAAGACCTGTGTTGAAACGTTAAGTTCTGTGTGCTCCTTCAAATTATGTATACGGCTTGTCGTTATTAAAACATTTGCTTCCACAGACAGCATTTCTTTTTAGGGTAAAAGATTAACTGCTACATACATTACAGCTCATCTTTTCTTGAAAAGGCCAATACAGCCTCCAGTGCACTCTAAAATGGCCAAACAATAAAAGCCGATTTGGAGGACTGCAGTCACAAAGTGGTGCTATTTAAGACCTTCTTAATATAAAGTGCAATATGCAACCATCCTAACAAGGAGTGAACATCATATTTGTTATGATCTATTAATATACAGTATTTTGAAATATCTTCAATTTTCCTAGCATTTTTTACTCTGAAGTGCATATTTTTATCAAACTGAGATGGGAATAAAGAGAACTATCATACCAAGAAATAAACACGAAAAACTAAACACCTGTGTTTAATTTGCAAGTGTTTCCAATCCCCTTAAAGAAACAAAGAGATATGCAGGTCGTTGAGACAGGAGGCTTGTGTTCATCAAATGACACACATTAAATAGACCTTTTTCACAGCAGCCATTTTGACATAAATATCCAGGTAAACACACAGGTTACCACTGATACTAATTAAGGTTCAGTTCCATTCAGGTCAAACCGAGTCAGGGTGCTGCTGTAATGCATGTTGGCTAACTGGAAAGGCTCTACACTAAACTACACTACACTAAATGGAACAGAACCTTGCTGGGTTAAAAAGGTCTATAATCTGGTTGTTAATAAAAATAACTGATGAGAAACAATAACATGTTTTCACAAGCTTCTGGCCCTCAATTAATACATTTTAAGGTGTGTTGGAATTAAAATTCTTTCTCTCTGTCTCCCTGTGTGTAGGTGTGGAGGGTATTGCCCAGGCCTACTCCGCCTGTCTCCCTCACATTCGTTTCTACGGCCCGACAAACTTTTCTCCAATCATCAGCCATGTAGCACGTTTTGCTGCCCAGGCACTTCAGCAAGAGAAAGCAGCGGTAGGTGACAGCTTACCTATTTATCTGCCTTTCCAGGTTTAAATTATTCTTCCAACAAGAAAGATGAGACTCAGGGGATGATACAGTATGTAACAGGGTTGGGCGATATGTTCAAATTTTCCGACCAGCCACCGTCAGTCCAACAACCGGTGACTGCTGATAAATTGCAGCTGAGAGATGAGCAGTGAGTTTGCTATGTGCAACAAATTCTCATAGCTTTAATAAACAAAATAGAGTCACCAAATGTCAAGAAAGGAAAAGAGAAACACATTTTGTCCTCAATAAACAGAAAAATACAACCGCACACCTTCTAAGACCTTATTAAGCAATTTTAAAACACACTTCATTCAAATGTGATAGAAACAAAATAAAACTCACCAAACTGTCTTTAATATGTCTTTGCACAGTTCTGACAATCAGAAACTCTGCTGTCTAACTACCTAATCTGAAAATATTGTGGCTCTACGCCAGAGTCCTGGTTAGAGCCTCAGTGAATCACCTCTTTACTGTATTCCCAGTCGTCAGACTAGTCGGAATAAACCCACGGCAATTAGATGTGAAATTATTCTGGCTCTACAGCTGTTTTAAAGCTGTTGTAAAAACTGTAAAATAAAATCACCCCAAAAAATGCATGGACTCCAACCAATCGGCCAATCAACTCAGCTCTTCTTCCTGTCTGTGAGTAGTTGTGTATCACCTGCACATTTCATTACAATCCTGCCAATATATGCACAGATATTGACCGAAATGTACCCTCTGGGGAGGTCATTAGAGTTTTAGGTTTGTTATGTTGAAGTGGAAAATTTGGCATGAGGGTGGCAGAAGGGCAAAGGTCAAGTGGACTTTATGCTCATTGGAAATCTACCTTATTTGGTTCTTTATTTGGTTTTAATTCTCCACTTTGTCATGCAGGATGGTCTCAGTCAGTGGTTCCCAACCTGGGGGTCGCCAAAGCTTTGCAGGGGGCCGCAAGGCCTTCTTGATTGTAAGGGGTGTAAGCAAACTTTAAAAATATACACAGTAGTCCTATATCTCAGTATGTTGTTCATTTCTGTAAAAAATAATTAAATGAAATTGTCATTTTATATTTGTCAAGTTTAGATTTGTATTTAAGTTCTTTAAAAACCTGAACACAAGCTATATTCACAGACAGCGAATTGTACAAACATATCAGGAAAACTCATCTATGATCAATATTCACAGGAAATAATCTGCACAAATTCATCCAAATTGCTAATTTTACACAACTCCATAAGAAACTCTGCAAACTGGGGTCCCCCAGGTTACGCCCTTGGTAGCTCCACCAACAGCTTCTCCTGGTTAAACTGTTTCTTTCGTTCCTTGAGTTGAAGCAGGCACCATCACTGTCATATCTTTCTAATCTTTTAGTTGAATTGTTTCCACTGTAAGGTTTGTTAGATGTAAAAGAACAGTGTTTTATTCAGTTTTATTGTTTTAGCCACACTAGTGGTGTCTGTCCGTCCCATTCTTGTAAAAGCAATATCTCAGAAATCCCTTGAGGAAACTTCTGGTGAACTGAATTATTTGGTCGTCAAAGGTCAGAGGTGCCATTGATGAATTGGTGGGCTTGACAGACATTTCACAGTTGGTCTGACAGTTAACTGCTGACACTTTTGACTCACAGGTCAAAGGTCATTGTGATCTCCAAATAGGTGAAGAATGAATTTGCCGATTCCATATGTCACACACGTTGACTGGGACGTCACAATGAGTAAACAATGGCTAGCACAGTTTCATCTTTCCATCTCATCCATTCTGCCTTTCATATACTGGCTCATTCTGAATTTCAAGTGTCACAATCACATGACTGCAAACAACATATTGCAACACAAATAGCTAATCGTGACCTGTGAGTGGGTGAGTAAGTTTGTCCTACAGCTCACAGAGAGGCTTTGCATCTAAAAATGTTGAGAGAAACTAAAAGCACCACATTTTGTAGCTATACTCTACACAAATCTATCTTAATAAATATTGTAATAATAATAATAATGTATGTGTATGTGTTTAATCAGTTCAAATCCACAAATTAATTAATAATGCCCCTTTTAAAGCACAGTTATACATTTTAGTTTAGTTTTTATTTCTGTGTCATGCCATACATCCGACCAATCCCACATGGGATTACAAGAAAACCACTGTTTTACAGAAACATATCTTCCAGTAATACATATAGACAAAAAACTAAACCCAAAAAATAACAAAGAGCAAAAAAGGATAAAAAACTTTTTCAAAATAACAGCATTTCAAATGAACTGTACACTGAAAACAACTGCTACATACCAACATACCATTTTTTTCTAACTAGCTAAACTACATGTTTCATATGCGAACAGCCAACACAATCTTGGCGCATCATCCACATTTGCAAAATCAATATTGTTTGAATGCATGGAGACAGAAGTTCGACGAAACAGAGATCATTGGGCTCTAAACAGGACAGTTGAACTATTCAATGAGGTAACAGGTGAACTTTTAGGTTGAGAACGACATGGGACGCATGGAAAACTGAAAATGAAGAAGGATTCCTAAAAGACTGTTAAGCACCACACAGGACACAGAGTGTAACACATATAAACAGTATAATACCTTATAACTCATATCATATATCATGGTTGTGTCAAGTGTAATCATTTTTATTTACATTTTACAGGTAATCTATAAGCATGGTATTGATCAATATATCCATTGAACACTGGTAACCAAACATTATTATGTGTAACTGTACTTGTGTGTTAACTGATTGTGGGGTGACACGCCTGCAGTGTATGGCCGCCGGCGGGAGGGGCTGCAGACCGACTTTCCCTGGACAGAATTTAGAGATATGAAACATCAGCCGACAGGGTTTTCGCGGTTTGCACACTGAGGGTGTGGCATTACATTTGGTATTTGGTATTACACCTGTATTCATGAGTAATTCATTTTTTGTCATTTAAGTATATAAGTCACATATTGTAGTCACGTATTCATTTGAGTCATATGTGTAATCGTAGTCACGAGTAAGACCGGATAAGCCTTGTTACGTGATATGGGTTCTAGCACTGTCTGGGTTGGTGTAAGTGTTTTTGCATCGTACTCATCTGATTCACTGAGTTGGGCTCCTCCCACGGCTGCCGGGGACCCGCCTTTTGGATCTCCTGAGGCCTTGTTGGGGCTCCACAGCATCATCCTCGGCTTTCTCAGTTCGCCTGGCATCACCCACAACAGAATGTCATTGAGTTTTAGCATGCACCACACAGTCATTTTGGTCAGTATTGTCTATCAGTTTGATACTGCCCTTGTTTTTGTTCTCCGAGGCTTTTGTACAGTGGCTCAAATGATACCAGGTTGTATTTCCTTCCACCTGGACTGCAGTCGGAGTTGCTCGCACCACTGTGTATGGCCCATCACGTTGTGGCTGTTGCCACTTTCGTCAACAACAAAAAGTTGTAGTCAGAGCAGTCAGCCTGCTCAGTTGAGAGGGAGAAGTGCGGGGGTGAGCGAGCTTGCGACTCCCCTTTGCTGTGGTGCCGGAAGTGCACGGGAAGTGTCTGTGTCTTTGGCCAAATAGGTGGAGCTATGGGCTGAGCAGCTCTCGACCGGATGCTGTATTGGCAGTCTTTCTGAGCTTTCAAAGCATGAACATCTGCGCGCAGCATATATTTACACTCTTCGGCGTTGTATGGGATAAAATAAAATATTCCTTTATTAATTGAGTATTTTAGTAAATCTTCCCTATTTTCCTACTTTGACTCACAGTTATTGGAACTTAACAACTTCTCTATTTCAACTGTTTCTTACACCATCACAACCAAATTATTCCTTTTCCACCGGTCTATTGGTCCGTCTACTTCACCTACTCAACTATGTTGTTTCACTTAACTTCAGAATAAATTTTACACAATAGTTACACGATATGCCAGCACAAAACACATGTATCAAATCACTTTGCCATATGAGTTAGGGTTAGAACACACTTTAGCAATTTACACTGAATTGCAGCCACACACACAGACATTGGATTCATCCACACGCAATTAGTTTATTTTCAAGATATAGCTAAATTTAGAAGACATGCATGAAGGTTATTCACAAGTCAGTCAGTCTTTGTAGCAGTCAGTCTGATATAGGGATTTGTGATTTCAGTATACCACTGATTATAGTTATTTTTTTATTTATTTTTTTTGCAATCAGATTTTTCCAGGAGGTGTTGGATTCGGGAATGTTGGTGCTCTCTAATCAGTCTACTGGCCACCACTTTCTCCTCTGCTAGGCACGGACACTGGGTGTGTCCACAGTGCACAGTGCACCAGTGGCTCTGTGAATTTTAGGGTTAACCGGGAACCCTGGAGGGTCGAGTCGACTCTTTTCTGATGACCTCTTCACCAATCCTCCTGTTACAATGGTTTATGCCTAATCTTATTTAGTCAATGAGGTCTATAATTGAGCAACATCTAACAGGTATTTATTAATACGACTATTGTACTTACTTTGCCCACTAGGACTGGAGTTATTGCATTACACGTACATATATGGACAAGTCAACGCTATGTACGGAGTCACCGAGCACCAACTGGAATGGCTTTTCTCGTTTTATTACAATAGAGCCCTTTCCGTCGCCGCCCTTCTCCTTGTCTAGTGAATAAACTTCACGTGTTATAACGCCGCCTAAAACAGTTTTGCCCCTTGGCGAGCTCTGGAAGAGATTTGCAAGTTAGGACAGGTTCTGATACACTCCATAAAACTTAACTCCAGCCTCCGACTACCTCAGCATCATGCTGGTCCAACGCATGAATGGCCTGGGCGGGGCTCTGCAGAACGTGTGTTACTCGGCCGTCAGTACTTTTACTTCACAACAACACAGGTTAACCTCTTCACTTTAAACAGCTCTTGATTTACAACTCCTCACAGGCCTAAACGACGGCCTTGGCCACTTGCCACAAACTCCTTTCCTCTCTCTCTGTGTGTCCCGGGACAAACAATCCAACCGCTGATTCTGCTCT